ATAGAGAGAGGTAAGATATGTTTTTCAGATCCATATTATGACAGATGATTTAACACATGATTAACTTACAAACAATAAAAGCCCAGAACCTGGGTTTTTTAAAGCTGAAAATCATCATTTCTTAGAACTGGACATGTCTAGTGTTCACCACACTAATATTTTATAATTCCCTTCTTCCAGCATCTTTACCAAGTTCCTCTCTGCTCCTAAATGAGGCTATGTTTTATTGCTTTTATTTTCACTGACTTATTTGGGGGTTATATTATTTTTTTGAGAGTTTTGAAATCTCACAAGGAACTGGAAAACTTTTAAAAGATTAAGACCATGCTGCTAATAAATGTTCACTTTTATTGTATCTCTGGGCTTCTCAAGAACTAAAAACAATTATACAGCCTACTAAATGGTAAGCATGGAGTGTTGTCTACCCAACTGCTCAGGCTCCCAATGAAATAAAATGCCATCATCTCTGTTAATGATCAGTTTTATCTTCCAAAATGTTGACGCCTTGACACATAGTAGGGACATGAAAAATATTTGGTGATAGGTAAATTAAATGAATCAATCAATAAACTAGCCTTGAAAACAAGCTTGTGCCCCAAACAAAACAAATGAGTTAGCTTCATAGAAATTAGTGTCCCCGGAGGAAATGGGTTCTGAGAAATTAGTGTCCCCGGAGGAATGGGTTCTGAGAGGTGTTTGTATGACCTGTCCATTTCCTTGTTGAAGGTGGGTCCGTGTAAGAGAGTTCTGAGGCAGTTTCTGCTGGCAGGTTGGCTATCTGTGGGTGGTGTAGCCGGATTAAAGTGCAATTCTGTTGTTTGATTACTGATTCCCAATGACAATATGCCAGTGAGTCGGTCTAAATTGCAGGAGGAGCTAATCAAAATCAGATTCCACTTGGTCAATTATTGTCAACTTCAGCCTGCGTCAGAATTACCTAGAGCAGTGGTCGGCAAACTGCGGCTCGTGAGCCACATGCGGCTCTTTGGCCCCTTGAGTGTGGCTCTTCCACAGAATACCGGCTCTTCCACAAAATACTGACTTCTGCGCATGGGCCACGAAGTTTCAATCGCACTGCACATGCACGCCCACACGTGGTATTTTGTGGAAGAGCCACGCTGAAGGGGCCAAAGAGCCGCATGTGGCTCGTGAGCCATGGTTTGCTGACCACGGACCTAGAGGGCTTGTTAGAGCAGATCGCTGGGTCCCAGCCTGAGTTCCCAATTCCACAGATCGGAACTCTCAAAGGGCCTCTGATGCTGACGCTCCTGGTCTAGGGACCACACCTGGAGACACAGGATTTATCTTTTATGAGCTCCGCATGATTTTGATGGGCCCCCTTGTTTATGAACCTTTAAGCTAAGACCTGAACCGTGGTGCAGCAGTCGAGTTTGATGTAGGGAAGGGATTGCCCGGGACAGAACCCGAGAAAGTCAAAGTGAAGTTTAATGGGATATAATGGCTTTGGGACCCACTGCAAACGCTACCATCTGGCTTTCTCTAGTGCAGCATCCCTAGTACTCCAGAAAATAGTAATAACATAATTACTGTGTATTGGGCACCCACCATGGGGCTATGCACTGTGCTAAGCCATTTACAGGAACTGCCCAATTTAACCCTCACTGTAACCACTGGGTTTTGGTACTGTTGTAAGCCCATTTAGCAGATTAAAAATCTTACCGAGAATGTAGTGACTTTCCCAAGGTTTCACAACTAGGAAGTGGTGCAGTTGGGATTTGAACCTTGATCTGCTGACTCTAGACTAGAACTCCTGCTTTAAACCATAGTACAGGTGCCTCCACTAATTCAGATGCCAAACCAACGTTATGATAATGACCTCAAATCTATGTATCGACTTGTGAGTACACGGCCACTTCCTTCATTAGGATGATTGGATACAGTGCCACTCTCTCTTTTTCTCTTCTTTTAAAAAGATATTTTATATTTTATTTTTAGAGAGAGAGGAACAGAGAGGGAGAGAGAGAGAAATATTGATGTAAGAGCAAAACATTGATTGGCTGCCTCCTGCATGCCCCATTGAAGGGATTGAGCTGCAACCTGGGCATGTGCCCTGAACGGGAATCAAACTGGCAACCTTTTAATGCATGAATGACACCCAACCAACTGAGCCCACTGGCCAGGGCTCTCTTTTTTATTTAACAGATTTATTTCACATACCATGCAATTCATCCATTTAAAGTGTACAGTTCAATGGTTTTTAAATTGTGGATTTGGAGCTCAGATAAAGCCCCAAACACTGTGGGCCTTTGGACACACACATATGGGCCTTTGTTAAGAGGGCTCAGCCCAAAGACCATGGATTTAGAACCAAAGTTTATTTGAGAGCTATTGGGGAGCATCCGCAATATACACGTCATGCCTTCAAGCTGATGTGTGTATCAGAACTTTCGGTCAACTCCATTTCTGCTGGAAAATCTTTTTAGTGAAAGGCACGCAGAACTGTCGGTTCTATCTTTGATTGTGGTTCTGAATTATGAATAGGCCTTTTAGGCTAAATTAGACAAATAGAAGTGTAATTAAAAAGTCAGTAGGCCCCAGGTAAAAAGGAGTATTTGGGTGATGAGAAAAATTAAAACAAGATATTTTATCTTCCAAAATTGCTTTGGGAATTAAATACACATGTATCTTTGTTAAGGCTTTTCAAATGCCAGCACCCACAGTTCAAGGATCTAGAAAGAAACCATGGCATCGGTAAGCTACCTGCTAAATATTCATAAAAAAGTAAATGTTTACAAAATGCTCTGGTAGACACTGGAGATAAAGATGTAGACGTGGTCACCACACACTGAGAGAGCATATATTACAAACAGTCATATTACCAGGTGAATAAATGAAATAATAGAGGTCTCAACAAATTGATATGAAAATACACTTGTGAGAACAGTTTGTCTAACTGTATACACTGATAAACACCAGGGGACTATTTTAAGGAATTGTTCATATTATCAGGGAGGTGTAAAATGCACACCAAGTGACATAGACAATACCTTCAAAAGATTTTTTATGCATGCCCACATAAGGATCTTCATCTTAAAATTCTATATCCAAATAGCTCTGCAGTCTGGTTCCTTCAAGTGAATTCCCCCCACTCAGGTGGCCCCACCTGCTAAATCACAATTTGCATTTTAAAAGGAGTTCAGGTGACCTGTTACACATTCAAGTTGAAGAAGTGCAGTTTTAGAGCTATATACCCTTACCTTTGCTCAACAAGACTAGAATGAGCCTAAAATTCCTTTTAGTTGAAATGGGAAATAGAACTGCTGACTACTGACAGCTGATCATCAAGCTGGATGAGTATCTATTGGTGCCCAAGTCGCAGATCCTATGGAAATCGCTCCTGTGATTTCCGGCCTAAATTCACAATAAAAGAAAATGGTTACTTTCAGGTGGAGGTGAGTGAAAATGAAGACATAAGTTTCTCAACCTTATTTAAGTTCCTGTGCTTCCTAAAATCTTTCCACAGAAATTATGAGGATCTGTGGACCCCAATTAAGGACCCCTGTACCAAGGAAGAGCTACACACTTGAGGAATTGGCTGTAACTTGTTTATCTGTTTTCATCAACTGCCAAAGGTTGACCCTGAGTTTTGCCCATTCAGTTAGGGTTAGATTTTAATTTTGAAGTGACTTTGCTAAGTGGAGGAAATTCTGAGGGGATCTCCCTGAGGATTTCTCCATCACTCTCAATCAGCCACAGCGTCAGAAATTCAAGGCTTGACACCCTCAGCATAGTGAGAGGGGCTTTTGTGGTGATGTCCATGGGCCGCTCCTCCGTCTCAGCAGTGCCTGGCCTGACATTTTGTTTTCTCATTTCTTCCTTCTTGATGGCTTTAAGGAAATATTTCCTTGCTTTCTCTCAGTCATCACTCTCTATTCTGTGCAGAGGCTTGTTTAGTTTTGCTTTGCATCCCACCTTTTCTCCTCTGTTGTATTTTAAGTCTCCCACATGTTCTAATCCCGTTCATGTCTTCCTTCCTTCCTTCACATCAGCATTAATGGCCCATGATCTTCTCATGCATCCTCCTGCCTGTCCCAGCAGCAATCATTTGTGGCTCCAAACCCACACTAGTGCCCATCCACCTGAGTTCCCCAGTTTCTCAGTCTGGGTGTTTCACAGTGAAAGCTCTGGGTGAATATTGATCAGCTGTGAATAGATGACCCATTGGGATGGGAGTGGTGATGAGTGCAGGTCTTGTCTCAAATCTCATCATTTCTGGCCAATGCTCCCCCACTGGGTAGCTGTACTTCCTCATTTGTCCATTGAAGATAAAAATAATCCTTACTTCATTAAACTATAAGAAGGAATAATGAGGTAATGTACAGAAAACATTGTTTTAAGTGCAAGCCCTCTCCCCCCAACCCCCGCAATACATGGATTGGCTAAGAGATCTTGAGTTCAAACATAAATGTGTATTGCATTTTCTGACATCCTGCTACAGCCTGAGGGGGCTCATCCTCTTCCTTTTAATGATTTCTATCAGCACCATTTGCTGTTGCTGCCTGTCTGGGAGCCAATCTTGAATTATTTCCCTTCTGTGGCTGCCCAGCTGAAGTCTATGAACCAGGAGGAATTGCAGTATCAGGAAGTATCGCTACTGTAGTTGTGCTAGTGTTTTCTGTCTTCCTCCAACAGTCTGACTTGAACATAAGGTCGTTTGTTTTGAGAAATAACAATATAATTTCCCCCAAAACTTCACATTCTCTGCCAAGGAGGAAATGACAAATAAATAAAAGATTTTATTAATGAAATAAGGAATGAAATACAGTGGGGCCTTGACTTACGAGTTTAATTCGTTCC